TTTTTTATTAGAAAGGGCAAAAACGACTTTTAGGGGGGCGGTAATAATCGAAAAGGGGGGCGGTATAAATCAACACCCAAAAAAAAAGTATTAAAAAAAGGTAAAGGGTCCAATAAGGCTTGGATTAGTGGCTGTGATGCGGTGGAGCCTTTTTAAAGCGCGCGGAATATCGCACCCCAAATCACGCGACACGTGTAATCGAAATGCTTTGGGATGTGTTGCATCTCGGCTCGTGGGACCCACAGGCCAACCGCCTATCGTTCTTCTTTTGCGTAACCGCTTGTTTGGTTGCTTTTTTATTATATTTTTCGGATATTCGCACCAAATTTCAGTTGTGGGCTTTTCTTTTGTTACACGGTTAAATGAAATAAGCGGTTCATGAGCTCACCTCAATTTGCAGGTTAAAAAGCTAATACTCGATTTGATAATTTAATAAATCAATAGAACTCAAGTTCTTCTATTGCTTATTTTATTAACGAGTCGGACTCGGAAGTAGAGTTTTTATAGAAAAAAAAACATGTAGTTCGACTTGTTAAATATCGAGTTCAGCTCGTTTATGTTTAATTTCGATTTGTTGCTATTGATAAACAAGTTGAGTAAAGTTTGACTCGTCAAGAGCTCGATTATCAAAAGTTTGAGCTTGACTTAACTCGTTTACATCTCGACAAATTTTACTTTCAATGAGATTAATGAGCAGCAACCTATCACTTGACACCTCCCCTACATTGCCAAAAAGCACAAACATCAACAACAAGAATAGGTAACAATATAAATAATACGGTTTATATGACCAAACAACTCATAATGTCATGTTCTAACTAACAATTATTCAAATAAAAGAATAACCTAGGCAAATAAATTGCATTTGTTACGTGGAATATGTCACCATATTTAAGGGAGTTTATTCCCATTTATTTCAGATTAAAAGTATTCTTTTAAGGTTTTCAATAAGCACCACACAATTAAAAGGCTCAATCAACCAACACAAACAAATCCCCTATTTATTATAGATATTAAACTATGAAGAAAGGGAACTTTGCTCCTACTCATGTGTAATATTATAAACTCAATAGCAGTAAGTAAATAAATAAACGAATTTCTTGCATTATCTGATCGTGCTGGTTGTTTGTTAATCGAAGTTCTACATTGATTAGACACTAGTTGATTCGTAAGACTAAAAACAAAATATTGAGAAATCCGATTGAAATTGATCAATACCGTACTAATCGACCGCGTTGTAGTCGTGAAAAACCCGATCGAAAAGGAACAATATCGTGTTGTCAACCGCATTGAAGTTCAACTGTGTTAACCTAATGTGAGATATGTATTTCAGCCTTTAAATTGAAGATGATGCTAATAAAAATTTCAACCCATTATCACAAGTTTGGGCTCTAAATTATGGGTCTTGGAAAGCTTCCCTATATGTTTATGAGTCCATTTAAAGATAAAAAAAAAGCTTTGGCCCAGTTTAAAATGGGAACAATTTGACCAAATTTATAGTTTTGTCACTTTGCGAATGTGTGTTCTCATTGATAATATGAATTTAAAGAATTTACTCTAACTTATGAGAACTAAATTACTTTGTTGGATTCATTTGCTAACTGAAATACAAAATCATCTGTTGACTTACTGATTTTAATTATTATAATTGTAAGAATAATAGATATTTGTTATGTGTATTTTCTATGACTTAGTGTGTAAAAATTCTAGCAATGTTGTGTTGGGTATATATTATTTAATTATTTTGCTACAAGTTGAATCATGCTCTAGTAATAATTGATTTGGTAGTTAATGGGGAAACTATGCATTTTAATTATACCTTGTGCCGTATACATTTTTTATGAAAAAATTTAATTAAGATCACTAGGAATACTAACAATGTTAGTGTCTTTTTTTACTTTAACTTATATTGGAGTTCTGCACCAGTTGAATCGAGCTCGAGCTCTTAATATTTAAACTCAGGCTCGGGATCTTTATTAGTTAAAACATGATTATTAGTTAATGAATATAAATTTAACAACGTATTAACATAATTAATCTAAATAAATAGTGGAAATAACAAAATTTAGCATTAATGGGATAACCCTATTCATACACATGTAGATGTCTCTAAATCATTTATTCTGGTCAATTGAAAAATAATTCGTAAGGCTTAGGCAATTGCCTTAAAATTTGAGGTTTAGAAAATTATGTAAAAATTCTTGTTTTTTAGTTTTAACAATATGAACAAGCTCGAACTCGAGCTCAAACTGTTTATTAAATAACACAAGTCGAGCTGACAAAAGAGTCGTTTCAATTAAGAGCTATGCTATAATAATATCATAATGATTATTGATTAAATTAGAGGACCATCAAACAATGTAATAGTATCTTAATGGTTATTGATTAAAGCAAAGGACCATCAAATAATGTAGCGTTACCATGTGGTCCAAATCATTGAATATATGAATTGAGATATCATTTATGGCATTTCGCTTCATTTTTGTTAAATTAGTTGGTCTTGTATTAGTCCATTTTTTTGTTTATCGGTAAATAAATATCACGCCTTTAAAAAAAATATATAAATATGACATTTGATAATATTTATATTTATTTATTTTATTTATAATAATATGACATGTCTGACCTATATCATATGAATTATGATTACTCCATATCAAACTAAGAATCTTTATTGCCAAATCATATATTATTTAGTTTATTTTTTTTCTTTTCTAAATAATCACTTCCCACTCAATTATCTTTAAAGGCAATGTAAAGTTTTGACATTCATTTTGTTTTATTTTTTTTATTTTGATTTTTTTTTTTTTTTTTTTTTTTTTTTTTTTTTTTGATTTTATCAAACAATTATTATATTACAACTCTAAAAAAGAATATACATTAGATGTCGAATGACATCAAAAACTAGAACAAATCTTGGATACTCTTCCCCATTGTATAGGAGACCAAAAAAACACCATAAAGGAGACTAGCAAATCAGACACATTTAGATTGAAAATTAAAAAACAAAGAAAAAAAAAATACTACAACACACACCTACTCTAATAAAGAATATCATATTCCATTCAACTCACGAGCACGCTGCTACAACCATTTGAGCCCGCACACGGGCCAAACCAAGCAACGATATAAACTAAAAGAACAACAAATCAAAGGAGCGAAAACCAAAATCTGCAAATTTACTGAAGCACATAGTTATATATGGTGAGAAGACGAGTCTCAACCTATATATGAGCTTCCGCAGCCTTCAGCTGGGGAGTGAAAACAACAGCTGACAACGACTAGACGAGAGGACTGCCAACACCACTCCTTCAACTGCATCACACGACCACCTACCTATGGGAGAAAGATGTGAACCAATTCCGCCGTTGTTGGACCTAAAAGAATCGACCGAAAATTGCAGGCACAAAATGGGTGACGACTTTAACGTTTACGCTGACAACTCTATGGCTAGAGCTGCTCAAAAGGCAACAACATCCCACTCCTCCTTCTAACTGGCGAGGACCTCACCTGTGGCACAAGATGTGGTCTCGTTGCAAAAAAAAAAGAAAGGTAGTGATGCAGACCCTAGTAAGATATTGTCCGCCTTGGGCTACTTCCGCCACCCGCACGACTTTGTTCTTGGCTGGGCTTCAATACACACCCACCAAAACGCGTCTTACTAGTGAAGGTATCCACATCCTCATATAAGGCATGCTTCGTTTCCTTTCAAACCCGATGTGGAATGCACTGCATCAGGTAGCTCCGGTGCCGGCACCAAGGACTTGCAGAAGTAGCGAGGTGCAGACAATTGCACATCAAATTTATTTATTTATTTTTGGGTGAGAGAGAAATTGTGAATTTTCCATTCCAAATGGAAATGTCATGTGCTTCTTTCGTATTATTTTAAAGGGAAATGCTATACTAACATAAATTGGCTCAAGTGGTAAGCAGTTTAATGTCGCTTAAGCAAGGTCTCGGGTTTGAGTCGTTGTGAATGCAGAAAATCTTTGTTGGGAGACTCACCCACTACTGCCAGACGTGCGGCTCGGATCGACCAACGGATTAGTCGGGATATAGCTCCAGATTTGGCTACCCAAAAAAAAAAAAGAAATGCTACAGTTCTGTTACGGTACCATCCCGTCGAATATTTTAACCGTTGAATACACATGTAGTTAGTATAAATAGATGATCCACCTGTTAAAATACCAAGGAGATGGTACAATAAACCATAACATTTTCTATTTTAAAATAATTATAAATTAATTTCAACGAGAAAATAGTACGTATTTGTGTCGGCTAAATTTTTATTATTTCAACACAAAGTATCCAAAAAAATATCTTATTTTTAATAAAACCGTGGAAAATTCAGACCTTCCCTTTCTATCTTTTCCGGCAAAATGGATTCACCAGTCAACGACCATTGCTGCCCACAGCTCAAATCTACGCCTTCTCCGCAAAATCCCTAAACTTTTCAGCTGCCCATTCGAAATTCCCCTAAATATGCTCCCTACAGTACTTATCGTATTGTTTCTGCAGTTGCTCCGCTACTCTTCAGCCGTTGACTTCCTATACACATCCTTCACCGACGCCGGCGGCGGCGGAGATGCCGGAGCAGCCCGCCCCGCTAACATCACCCTCACCAACGACGCCCGCGTCGAGCCGCCGGTCATCCGCCTCACGAACGACTCGAACCAGTTCTCGATCGGCCGCGCCTTCTACCCCGCCCGGATCCCCTTCAAACCCTCGCCCGACTCCACCAACGTGACGGCGTCGTTTTCGACCCAGTTCGTCTTCTCAATCCTACCCGACATTGCCACCAGCCCGGGCTTCGGCCTCGCCTTCGTCATCTCCAACTGGACCTCCCCGCCCAACGCCCTCGCCGGCCAGTACTTCGGCCTCTTCGCCAACGGGACCGCCGCGGGCCCGCTCGTGGCCGTCGAATTCGATACTGGCCGGAACCCGGAGTTCGACGACCCGGACGGCAACCACGTCGGCATAGATCTCAACAGCGTCGTCTCCGCCATGATCCAAACCGCCGGGTACTACAACTCATCCAGCGACGGCGGCGTCAATTCTACATTTGTCCCTCTCGACATGCGAAACGGGCAGAACATCCACGCCTGGATCGAGTTCGACGGCCCGGGAAGCGAGATCAACGTCACCATCGCTCCTGCAGGCATGGCCCGGCCTGCCAGGACCATGCTATCCTACCGGATCCCCGACATCGCCAGCTACTTCGATCAGGAGATGTTTGTTGGGTTCTCAGCCTCGAAAACCCAATGGGTCGAGGCCCAGCGGGTGCTTGCCTGGAGTTTTAGCAACATCGGGCCAGCGAGGAACCTCAACACCACGGGCCTGCCTGTTTTTCGGCCTGAGAACTTGGGCCCCTCTGCTGTTTTGGCCGTAGGAACGATTGTTGGGATTGTAGTTGGTTGTGTGGCAGGCCTCTCGGTTGCATCTTGTCTAATTTACTGGTTTTGGTGGAGAAGAAGAAAACTGAGGGAGGACGAAGAAGATGATGAGATAGAGGAATGGGAAATGGAGTATTGGCCTCATAGATTTTCTTATGAGGAGCTCCACACGGCCACAAATGGCTTCTCAGACAAGGAGCTTCTCGGGTCGGGCGGGTTCGGAAAAGTCTACAAGGGAACATTAGTGAATAACTCGGAGGTTGCAGTCAAATGCGTCAACCACGACTCGAAACAAGGATTACGGGAATTCATGGCTGAGATCTCGAGCATTGGCCGTTTGCAGCACAAGAATTTAGTCCCGATGCGCGGCTGGTGCAGAAAAGGGAACGAGCTAATGCTTGTATACGACTACATGCCCAACGGCAGCCTAAACCGGTGGATTTTCGAGCGGCCCAAGTCCCTCATGAACTGGGAGGGTCGAAAAAGGGTCTTAATCGATGTGGCCGAGGGTTTGAATTACCTGCACAACGGGTGGGACCAGGTTGTCGTGCACCGAGACATTAAATCGAGCAATGTGTTATTGGATAATGATATGAGGGGTAGATTGGGAGATTTCGGGCTCGCAAAACTGTACACTCATGGGGAAACTCCAAACACGACCCGGGTCGTGGGTACGCTCGGATATTTGGCGCCTGAGGTGGTGACATTAGCATCACCCACCACGGCCAGTGATGTGTACA